AACTTCACGACGAAGGGACCGCTGGTTGTCAATAAACAACTTCCCAATTTCAGAGCCAATTTCAAATTCCCAGCGAATGATATTGGACTCAAGACAACGCAAGTTCAACTTCACGACGAAGGGACCGCTGGTTGTCAACAAACAACTTCTCAATTTCAGAGCCAATTTCAACTTCACAACGAAGGATATTGGACTCTAGACAACGCAAGTTCAACTTCACGGCGAAGGGACCGCTGGTTGTCAACAAACAACTTCTCAATTTCAGAGCCAATTTCAACTTCACAGCGAAGGATATTGGACTCCAGACAACGCAAGTTCAACTTCATGACGAAGGGACCGCTGGTTGTCAACAAACAACTTCCCAATTTCAGAGCCAATTTCAACTTCACAGCGAAGGATATTGGACTCCAGACAACGAAAGTTTAACTTCACGACGAAGGGACCGCTGGTTGTCAACAAATAACTTCTCAATTTCATAGCCAATTTCAACTTCACAACGAAGGATATTGGACTCCAGACAACGCAAGTTCAACTTCACGACGAAGGGACCGCTGGTTGTCAATAAACAATTTCTCAATTTCAGAGCCAATTTCAACTTCACAGCGTAGGATATTGGACCCAAGACAATGCAAGTTCAACTTCACGACGAAGGGACCTCTGGTTGTCAATAAACAACTTCCCAATTTTAAAGTCAATTTCAACTTCACAACGAAGGATATTGGACTCCAGACAACGCAAGTTCAACTTCACGGCGAAGGGACCGCTGGTTGTCAACAGACATTTCTCAATTTTAGATTCAATTTCAACTTCACAGCGAATGATATTGGACTCGAGACAACACAAGTTCAACTTCACAACGAAGGGATGGCTGGTTGTCAACAAACAATTTCCCAGTTCCAGAGCCAATTTCAACTTCACGACGGAGGATATTGGACTCAGAACAATGCTACTTACTTGGATTTCAACTTCACGACGAAAGATATCCAATTTCAGGCTCAACTTCACGACGAAGGGGTCACCCGCGGTTTCAACTTCACGACGAAGGGAATCGTGCACACAAGCATCATCCATCCTTAGATTGGATTTCAACTTCACGACGAAGGATATCCAACTCAAAGAAGGAGTATCTATCAACAAAGACCTTGGAGTTCAACTACGCTCAGCTCCAAGGCACATCATTTACAGCATAACTCAAGGCTAGAAGGGTTATTTGCCATCAAAATTGTCGAGTTCGGCTCTATTCAGCTCGATGACACCTCAATCACACTACTGTTCGGCTACAATCGAGGTTTTCAAGTCGAGAAGAAGACATGGGTTAACCGTGTCTTAGTGACAATAAGCTGTTTTTCCGGTAACATAGCTTAGGTCGAGGAAAGCTATCTGTCAGCGAAGACCTTTCGGGTTTGGTTTCATTCAGCTCGAGGGCCTGTCAACTACATGAGGGAGTCATTCTTCAACTCCACCGAACGAAAATTAGTGTCATTTTATCATTGTCCTATTTTTCGTTCCACGAAAAAGGACAAAGAGGGGCAGCTGTAGACACTAATTTCTCACCCATCTCCCTGTTTTTCCGCCAATGACTCCTCACAACCCTTGCACCAGATTTCTCGGCACACTCAACCACCAAGCGACAACCCCTCGTCAACAACTGAATCCCGGTGATCTCGGGATTGAGTGGAAACAACCCCCCAACTCACCTATAAGTACCTGCAACAGGGTAGAACAAGGGGGTGCTGATCCCATGAGAAGGGAGAAGCAGAAACAAAGGCAGCAGGGGGACCTTCACTGATACTGAAACCTATGGAAACTCTGGAGCCCAAACCACAAAGCTCGAGCTTAAACTCAAGCCCTTCTCCTTTCCCATCACCGTCGTATTCGGGAAGGCAATGGAGACCCGCTGCTCAACGGAACCTAAGAAACCAGTGGTCGAAAATGGCGTCTTAACGCCAACAATGGCTTTCTTCTTCTTCATCCGCCAGAACTCACGCCATTTCACTTGTCAACGCTTATTTATATCAAAACTGATGAAAACACATATTCATTTTTGCATGTTTTTTTTTACCTTGTTAATTTTCGTTTCATCGATCAATTTGATTTCAGATACATGTCGTCGATGGAGTTGGGAGATCTAAAGGACATGCCAGATATTCGAAAAAAGCTTCTTTGAAGTTGTTTAAGCAACAAGAATCTCCTGGAAGTAGACTTTTATCATCTTACAAGGACACGGTGATGGTTGCTATGAACATGGTGAATGCTAGTAAATCCACGAGATGCTTTCTTAAAGGAGGCAACAACAGTTCACTTCTATAATTTTCGAGCACTAGTGAGTATGTTAACAACACCAGTGATTGTAATGGGGTTTCTGTCTTCGGATTTTGGCCGATCTCTTCTTTTGCCACCGCCATTGGAACCTCGGCAAGCACGCTACGTGGATGAGATGGTGGCGTTATCACCCTGCCTGACTCTTGTGTCGGACCCTCCAAACAACGCCTCTGACACTGTTGCTCCACAGTACTTCGACGTCTTCACTTCTGCTTTTGAATCCGACGACGATTACTGTTTTTAACGACGTCGCTTTTCTGGACTCGCTCTGCTCTTCAGGTTGCCAACACCTCTAAGTTCATCAGCAGAACAAGCCATGTTCTGCAACATAAAATGATGGAGATATGGCCATGCATTGAGGTTAAAGCAGAACTGTGATTGTGGGAAGTTGAGGTTCCTACGTGTAGGACTCATTTTTCAGATTTTTTGTCAATGTGCTGTCACCACTTACCACTATGTGATATTCTTTTCATTTCCAAGTTATTTTCTTTTAGTATTTTTTCTATTCATTTCACATTTAATAATTCATTTTTGTATTTATTTATTTTAATCTAACATTTTTATTTTCTTTTTAGGGACAACTTTAACTAATCAAAGGTAAGTGATTTGAATCGGATTTTTAAATTTTAACTTTAATTTTTTTTTAATTTTTTCACAACTAAGACAACCGACAAATTAATTGGTACCGAAAGGGCGGTTCAAGGGTGCTAATCCTTCCTTGACTGTAACCGACTCCCGATCCCGACACATTTCTAGTACAACGCAGATCAGGTAAGATGGTGTCCGACCCACCTAAATTCGTTTTAAATGGTCGGTGGCGACTCTAACCCAATTCATTCAAGTCGAAGCCCAATTCCGGGGCCCAACCGAAAGACGGTCGCGACAGTTACCAAGGTAAGCAACTGCATACCCACTCCGGTATACAAAATACATAATGATAAAAATATCCTTTTTTTTAATATTTTAATTTTTAATTAAAATAATTCATATGAAATAAAAATCGTTAGTTAATTAATAATAAACACAAATTGATGATGTAATATTTTTATATGTGTTTAATTGATGATATAATATATATCATATCATCACTTTAAATGACGTGACTTATATTATATCATAATTTTGATGATATGACATGTGTTATGCCATCATCATATTAAATGACGTGACACATATTACATCATTAATGAAATACATATAAAAATAATATATCAACAATATATATTGATCATTAGTCAATTAATTAACGATATTCATTCAATAATTATTATTTTGACTAAAACTTATGATGTTGGAGGCGCAAATGCATGAAAAAAAAATAGGAAAGTGACCATTTGTGTGATTACATGTGACTAGACCAGCCAAAAAGAAGTTGTTACTTTAATAAAATTAAAATAACAAAGGATTGTCTGCTTACCAGAGAGATCGACCTAGGAGTCGATTGCATGTGAATAATGATTAACACCACAATGCCCTTTTGGTACCTAGTGGATTATGATGTTGTCATGAGAGAAAAAAAAATCAAGTGGGTAATTCAATTTATGATCTCTTTTTTATAAAAAAATTCTAATTAACAAATAAAAATAAAATTAGTTAGCGAATATACAAAATAAAGGCATACTTAACAAAAATAGAGCATGAATACAAAAAATTAAATTAATAATAAAAAAAATAAATGGAAAGAATTAAAAGGAAACATGGATGTTAACAATAATAAAATTAATTTGGGGAAGAAAATTAGAACAAAGTTAAGCTTAAACAAAAACAAATTAGGAAAGAAACAAAATAAGGAAAAACTCATATCAGATTTTATAACATAATTTATATACTAACCAAACAAGATCAGATTAAAATTTTAAATACGGTAAATGGCGTGAATCAAGCAAAATTAAAATAGATGGAAACAATTAATTATAAATGATAATTAAAGTAGATTAAATTAGAAATAAATTGATATCAAAGAATGTAATAAAAGGTCAAATAAATTAAGATATAATGAATTAGAGAAAAAAAGGGTATGGTCTTCATTAGAGGAAATCTGAAAATTAACAAAACAAAAGAATATTTAAATTTCAATAATTATATAAATTCAAATCTAGATAAATTAAATAAAAAACAAAAGAATTAAAATAAACAAAATATATTATTAGAAGTGGGATAATTAAAAAAGATCAAATAAATTAAAGTGTGAATCATGAATTTACGAATAAAGTTAATTAAGATAAACAAATAAAATCACTTATAAAAGTTAGAAAATGTAGCAAAAGTAATTACAACTGCATGCTATTGCCACGTCCCGTGAGATCAAGCCCGAAACATGTGTGCTAGAGTCTGCGACAGAAGTTCTAAAGGGCATATTGGGCATGACTAGTCCGTTAAATTTGTGTTAGTTATTTACGTGTCAATAGTGCTCCTATATTATAGGGCTGAATGGGTCTTTTATTAGTTGCTTTATTTACTCCTATTTTAGTGCCACTTAGTGTGTAGTGTCAGTTAGTTTGTTTCTGAGAGCCTGTAAGGCTTATATAAGCCATTCTTTGCATTGAATAAAATAAATTGGTATACAAACATTTTCTTGTGAGATTTACGTATACTTTGAGTTTCTACAATTGGTATCAGAGTGAAGAGCAATCTGGTACAGAGTGTGGGCAACCTAAGTGAGAAGTGTGAGAGTAAGGATGTCTACATTAGAGAAGTTTGTTCAACCAGCCATTCCAAGATTTGATGGCCACTATGATTTCTGGTCCATGACCATGGAAAATTTTATGCTCAGTAAGGAACTGTGGCAACTAGTAAAAGATGGCATACTAATGTTTGGAGCCACGCCCACCGAGGCACAGAGGAAGAGTGCTATTGAGGTGAATCTAAAGGATATGAAAGTAAAGAACTACTTGTTCAAAGCTATTGATAGAGAGATTCTTGAAACAATACTGGACAAAAGCACGTCACATGCGATATGGAGGTCCATACAGCAGAAATACCAAGGATCAACAAGAGTCAAATGTGCTCAACTCCAAGCACTACGATGGGAGTTCGAATTTCTGACCATGAAGGACGGTGAGAAGATTGATAGCTATATAGGACGCACTCTCAGTGTAGTCAACAAAATGAAAGTAAATGGTGAAACATTGGACTCGAGCACAGTGGTCAGCAAGATACTTAGATCTTTAACCTCAAATTTTAACTATGTGGTGTTCTCCATCGAGGAGGCCAACGACTTGAGTACCCTAAGTCTTGATAAACTTCATGGCAGTCTGCTTGTTCACGAGCAGAGAATGCAGAGTTTTCAACTTGATGAACATGTGTTGAAAGTCACTCATGATGGTCGTTTGGGAGCAAGTCGTGGTCGCAGTAGAGGAAGTCATTGACGGGGAAGAAGAAGTGGGATACAACCTTTCAATAAGGCGCTTGTTGAATGTTTCCAATGTCACAAACTAGGACATTTTCAGTACGAATGTCCTGTAGTGGAGAAGCAGGCTCATTATGCAACATTTGAGGATGCAGCAGAGACAGAAAATGAGATTCTATTGGTGACATATGAAGAGATGACACAATCTTTCCAGAGGGAAGACTGGTTTCTAGATTATGGGTGCAGTAATCATATGACTGGTAATAAGCAGTGGTTTAGAGAAATACATGAAGAATGGCTCAATAAGAATGTGAAACTTGGAAATGACACGACACTGAATGTTGCAGCCAGAGGAAGTATTCGGGTTCAAATCAATGATGTTACGTATGTTATATCCGATGTTTACTACGTTCCAAAGCTTAAGACCAATCTCTTAAGTTTGGGACAACTTCAAGAGAAGGGTTTAACTATCTTACTCCAAAATGATACATGTAAGATATATCATCCAGATAGAGGATTAATCATTCATACTAACATGAGAGGAAATAGGATGTTTTATATATCATCCTCAATGACTTCCCAACGTCCTCAGTGCTTCCAAGCTGAAGACAATTTAGATAAAGCAACTCTGTTGTGGCATAAACGATTTGGACATCTCAATTTTAAGGGACTCAACATACTCACAAATAAGCAACTAGTGATTGGTCTAGTTTCTCTGAAAACTCCCAAGGCTATATGTACTATTTGTCTCGTAGGTAAACACCATAGAGATGTCATACCAAAGCAAAGTTCATGGAGAGCATCAATAAAACTCCAATTAATTCATGCTAATGTATGTGGTCCCATTTCGCCAGCTTCACACAATAATAAAAGGTATATTCTGAGCTTTGTTGACGATTATTCTCGTAAAACTTGGATTTACTTTTTGCATGCAAAATCCTAAACGTTCAATGCCTTCAAGAGCTTCAAAGCATGTGTTGAAAAAGAAGCTGGCACCCACATTGTGTGCTTAAAAACTGACCGAGGTGGCGAATTCAATACCAAGGAGTTTTCAAACTTCTATAATCAACACGGTATCTCTAGGCAATTGACAGCTGCCTACACTCCTCAATAAAATGGAGTTGCAGAGAGTAAGAATCGTACTATCATGAAATCAGTCAGAGCAGTACTTTATGACAAGCATATTCTAAAATCCTTATGGCCTGAGGTAGTGTGGTGGTGTGTTCATGTTCAAAACCAAAGTCCAACCTCTACAGTAGATCAAGGGACTCTAGAAGAGGTGTGGAGTGGAGTGAAACCGTGTGTTGATTACTTTTGCACATTTGGATTTGTTGTACATGTTCATATTCCAGATCAAAAGAGAAGCAAACTAGATGCAAAGAGAAAACAATATATTCTCTTGGGCGTAAGTGATGAGACAAAAGCTTACAAGATCTATGATCCTATTACAAAGAAGGTCATTGTAAGAAGAGATGTGGTGTTTGAAGAAGACAAAAGTTGGAATTGGGATGCGCACGTAGATGGAGGTACAACCCTTGCTCTTGATTGGGGAGACAAAGATGGTGAGAAAATTGAAACTGTAAAATTTATATCCCAACAAATAACAGCCAGCCATGATCAACCAGTAACACTCGAGCCAACTTTAGATTCAGTACCCACTGATTCTCCAGTTAAAGGGAGGGCAACCAGGACCCGAAGATAACCATTATAGATGTCTGACTACGAGACCAACCTATCTGTAGAAGAGGGAAGCTTACTGGCAATGATGATAACCGATTCTGAAGATCCCCAATCCTTTGAATAAGCTTACACGAGTCAAAACTGGAGAGAAACAATGGATACTGAGATGAAAACAATTGAAAATAACAACACGTGTGAACTTGTAGATCTTCTAGACGGTGTTAAACCCATTGGCATGAAATGGATCTTCAAAAACAAATTCAATGAACATGGCCAAATAGAGAAGTATAAAGCTAGGTTAGGGCCAAAGGCTATGCCCAACAGTATGGAATCAACTACACAGAAGTATTTGTTCATGTGGCTAGACTTGACACAGTAAGAGTGGTGTTAGTTGTGGCAGCTCAACGTTCATGGGAAGTATTCCAACTCGATGTCAAAAGCGCGTTCTTATATGGTGAACTTCAAGAAGAGGTGTATGTTCAACAACCTACTGGATTTATCAAGAAAGACAAAGAAAATCACGTATACAAACTCAATAAAGCTCTCTATAGACTTAAACAGGCTCCACGAACCTGGTACAATAAGATAGAAGCCTACTTTGCAAGATAAAAATTTGTACGTTTCTCACCTTGTTCACGAAAAAAAAGGTTCATGATAATGTTTTGATTGTTAGTCTCTATGTTGATGATCTAATTTTTACAGGAATTTGCAAAGATATATGTGAAGAGTTCAAATGCTCAATGCAGCTGGAATTCAACATGACCGATCTGGGTAAAATGAGACATTTTCTGGGAATATAAGTAATGCAGAATGAGGCAGGAATTTTCATCTGTCAAAGATAATATGCACGTGAGGTACTAGCTCGGTTAAACATGACAGAGAGTAACTCTGCTCGAAATCCCATTGTACCAGGAACTATATTGTCCAAGGATGATGAAGGAGCTCCAGTAGTTGCTACAAAGTTTAAACAAGCTGTTGGTAGCCTCATGTATAAGACAGTCACACGACCATACTTGATGTTTGGGGTAAGCCTAATCAGAAGATACATGGCTAATCCAAAGGAGTCACATTGGACTGTAATAAAATGAATTTTCAGGTATTTAATAGGAACCATTGAGCACAGTATTTTCTATCAAAAAGGAAAGAAAATGGGTCTCACAATCTACAGTGATAGCAACTATGCATGGGACTTAGATAATAGAAGAAGCACCTCCGGATCAATATTTATGATGGGAACTGCAGGTATATCATGGGCTTCGAAAAAGTAGTATGTAGTTAGTTTATCTACTATTGAGGCTGAATACATTGATGCATCATCTTGCACATGTCAATGCATTTGGCTTAGAAGAATTCTGGAGCATCTTGAGTTAGAAGAAAAAGAAGCCACCGAAATTTTATGTGACAACAATTCTACAATTCAACTATCCAAGAATCCTGTTCTCCATGGAAGAAGTAAGCACATAGCAGTGAGATTTCACTTTCTCATAGATCTGGTGAATGATCAAGTAGTTCAACTCAAATACTGAAATACTAATGAATAAGTGGCTGACGTGATGACTAAAGTTTTGAAGCTCGATCAATTTGAGAAGTTCAGACACAAACTTGGTGTAGTTAAAGTTATTGAAATAAGCTAAAGCTTAAGGGAGGAAATCTTAGTTATTTATGTGTCAATAATGCTCCTATATTATAAGGCTGAATGAGTCTTTTATTTGTTGCTTTATTTACTTCTATTTTAGTGCCACTTAGTGTGTAGTGTCAGTTAGTTTGTTTCTGAGAGTTTGTAAGGCTTATATAAGCCATTCTTTGCATTGAATAAAACAGATTGGTATACAAACATTTTCTTGTGAGATTTACATATACTTTGAGTTTCTACAATTTGGCCCAAAATGTAGAGAGTGACAAAGGGCCCGAACTCGTTCACAGTGACCGTACAAATATGGAAAGTGGCACCTTATCAGATTGTGTCCACATAGGCAGTGCAGATACGGCAAGAGACAACAAATCAGAGGAGATTGTGGAGGAAACTTACCATATCAAGTGTGAACAACCATTCAAGGAAAGAATCAAAGTAATTGATGTGATGAGATAGTGGTTTGGTTGTCTTCCCTTAAATAGGGGATTTGATTAAATGGTGATTAATGGAGTTTCCTTAGATATGGAGATTGTAATTAATATGGTTTATCTTAGCCATTGATCTAGTTTGATCTTAGTCGTCCATTGTAAGGAGATTCAACTATAAATAGAGGCCTCCCCATCACATTTGTACACACTTCACTCTTTACTTCATTTGAGTAATAAAGAGCATTCAGTTAATTCTCTTTTCTTTTTCTTTGAGAGCCATCTTTTTTTATAGTTTTTTGTGCTTTTGTGTTTTTACTAAGTATTCTTACTTAGTGTTTTTAGGTTGACTTAGCCGTCAAATAGTCCAAAAATTATTCCGAGGCGACTAAGGTCGTGTACTCTGGATTTGGAATCTCCAAGGGTGTTAAAAGTGGAATTAGAGCTACTTTGTTACGACAACAACGAGCATTTCAAGCTAGTTTTAGGAGAGATAACACAATAAAATCAAAAAGAGGTCCCAGTTACTAGAGAGGGAGTCAAGATCTGTGCAGTTACGGAGAAGAAGCGAGGGAAATCGAGAAATACCGTGACATTCATTAAGAGAATACTCAACAAGTTGAAAGGCTTCGAGCCCAAAGTCATGGAGGATGTGCAATAGGTCCTCGATGATTATGGCGGGAAAAAGATATGAGAATATAATGCCGTGAGAGCTGAGGTATTGAGTACGAGGAAGGAGCTGAGTGAAGTCCAGGAAATACTAAAGGCAGTTGAATCTCGCCTGGCCATGATGGTAGAGATGTCGAAGGAAATGAAAGAGTTTAAGAGTAAACCGGTTGGTTTTTGGGAGGCCATGGTGAATGGGGCGCTAGGAGTAACACCCATGAGTAGGCCCAGGGTCGATGTTCCAATGTTGAACAAGTTCAAGGGATACGATCGACATGTGAAGTTGAGAACTTTAGTTGGTGCATGGAGTAATATTTCTGAGGGTTGGAGTCGATGATGACTTCACTAAGGTAAATGTTACTTCAAATTATTTGATTGATGATGTTCTTTTGTGGTGGCAACATAAATGATTAGAAGGAATTCCTATAGGGAAGTGGAGTGAGTTCAAGGTCGAATTAAAGATACAATTATTCCTCGTGAATGTCGAATTGGGGGCACGAAATAATATGAAATAACTTAAGCATGATGGTCCAATATGGGAGTATACGAGTCGATTTATAGAGCTCAGTTGCAAGTCCTAACCATGAGTGAAGAGGATGGATACTATGTCTTCTTGGGCAGACTACAATGATGGGCCAGTGTAGAAGTGTTGCGAATAAACGTCAAAGACCACAACTTTGGCCGAGTCTATATCAGAATTTGAAATCTTAAATCCAAAAAACAAGGGTAACGATGGGGGAGATAGAGAGAAGTCATCCAAGGATGAGTCTGAGGAGTTTCAAAATGGCGAAGGGAAGTTACAAAAGGAAAGAGTCAACCTATTGTGTGAACCGAGACAAAAAGGTCATCTTAAATGTTACACTTGTGGAGATAACCATATGAAAATGAATTTCTCGAAGAGGGGAAGGGTGTCCGCCATCTTTAAGTCAAGAAGATGAGCCACAAGCAGAGGTAGCCAGACTTGGCATAATTGCAAACATCAAGGCTAGCAAGCCAAGGGTAAAAGTAGAGCAACCGAAGTACCACCAAGGGGAGGGGTCACAAAAGTTGCAAGATTGTGATGATCGAGCCAAAAAGTCCAAGAGAGAGGAAGAGTCCAAAGGCGAGGAGGCCATAGAACTTGGCACGATGATTTAGGGTTCTATCAAGGTGAATAGAGTCAAAAGACAAAGAGTTGATGTACATGGACATCAACATTATGAGACAATCGAAGAGTGTTCTAGTGGACACTGGGGTAACCGATATTTTTATGTCCAAGAGAGCTACGAACAATCTTGGTCTCAAAGTGGAGAAGGCAAAGGGTTACATAAAGATTATCAACTCTAAGAAAGTGCCCATTATTGGAGTGAAGATGATGGTAGAGCTTTGAGTTTGTGAGTAAAAGGACAAGGAAGATTTTAAGGTAATTTCGTTGGATAACTTTGATTTTGTTACCTGGTTAAGTTTTCTTGAACTCTTCACCAAGAAACCATGCACATTACTGATCCACATTGGCCATACTCTATGCCAATAGCTCGAGACAAAGGAAAAGGGGCCAAAGTATTATCGGCCATCTAATTTGATGTGATGAGATGAGATGGTGGTTTGGTTGTCTTCCCTTAAATAGGGAATTTGATTATATAGTGAGTGATGGAGTTTCCTTAGAAATGGATATTTGTAATTAATAGGGCTTATCTTAGCCATTGATCTAATTTGATCTTAGTCTTCCATTGTAAAGGGATTCAATTATAAATAGAGGTCTCACCACCTCATTTGTACACACTTAACTTTTTAATTCATTTGAGTAATAAAAAGTATTCACTCAATTTCTCTCTTCTTGTTCTTTAAGAGTCATCTCCTTTCTCGTTCTTTGTGCTTCATCGTTTTTACTAAGTATTCTTACTTAGTGTTTTTAGGCTTATCTTCCAAACCGTCCAAGAAGTGTTCCAAGGCGACTAAGGCCGCGCGTTCCGGAGTTGGAATCTCCAAGGGCGTGACACCATGCAAATATGAATATAAAATGTTAGGGCCAAGTCAAATAATAAATAAATAAATAAATGCTAATTCTATAAAATAAAGAAAAACTACATAAGAACACTTCCTTTAATCATTAAAGTTCAATGACTTCATATATTATAAAATTTATGTGCTAAAGGTTAATTGTGATTTCCATATTTATTATTATATAATACTTATATAAATGTTATATTTGAGAAAATGGATGACAAAATAGTTTCTTCTTTTCACTTCTTAACCAAACAAAAAATATTAAAAGTCGTTTTATTTATTAATTCTAATCATTCACTTCTTTATTTCCCC